CTTCCTCGATATGTAATGTTAGCTAAATAGAATCCAGGATAACGCTCATTTCGTCCTGTCCGGGACTCGTCAGCTGGATGTACCTGCATTTCCTCGGTGGGACATCATCACTCACTTGGAAATGCAGGTAAGTTCAGTTGACGCGTCCCAAATAGGACGAAGTTCGCATAAAGCTGGATTCCACTGCTAGTCACCATCCATAAATTAAATTCTAATCAAATGCCTAGATATTGTCGAAGCATCTGCACAAGAAGACAACAGACACGTCAACCTGAGACCGAGGAGCACTTCTATCCAATCAGTCAATCGACGGGGGAATCTAAAATTCAATTAAATGTTAGCTAAGGTGGTTGTAAAAGAGCCAGTATAGTCGTGGTGAAACCAAAACTTGACATCACTTCATGAAATCGGTTGACAGTTAGTTTGATCTAGGCAATCTGTAAGTAGGAGTGTGGAGATTACCTGTTTGGTTGGCATCTTCATAGGATGCTAAGTGCCAATGGCAATGCCTGCAAACTGACTACTGGTGGAGATGCATTCACCATTTCTGTGATCTCCCATATATATTCATTAAAACCCTATTGCTTTTTCATGCTACTATTTTTTTATTCTCCCTTCTCTTTTGTCTTCTTTTTGTGTTCTACATGGAGGAGTATGGCAAGTTGAACTACCGCACTTCTGTGCAAAATTGTTGTATAATACGATTAGATGGTTAGAGGCAATTGGACACAGGGAGGCCTTGCTTGACTGACCTAGGCTTTGTGCTAGTTACCACTTGCCAGTCAGTCAGTCATTCAGCAAGGCGTATCTGCAACCACATTGAAGGAACAATTCATGTCCCTTGTTGTGAGGTTCGAACCCGCGTCATTCAGTGCTGTAGTCAGTCAGAGACGTTACCACCACTGAACTATTCGGGCTGACTCGCGATTGACCTCCTGAAGAGGAGTGTATTAGAGACTTTCATTAGACTGACTGAATTCTATCAGTCAGGTTTTGCAATGTGGCCAACATATGCTGGGTAGCTCGCCATCACAATCATCTAATATCATCATATCACTGGGCATTGTGATGGAGAGTTACCTAACATATGGTGGCCACATTGCAAAACCGATGTTTATTTCAAAATAAGTTAGTCGACAAGCTTACAAAATAGATAAATTACTGCAGTACCTGGATGATTAGCTCCAGTTGGGAACATACATCATTCTCATTAGCCGAGGGTAGTTAGGATACGGGTGTCCATTTAGTTTTGGAAATCCGAAATAGGATCTAACCAGCAATATATATATATATATACTCCATTTGATTGCATGGAGGATGGGAGTACTGGACAGCTGTTTCGTCCTAGTTTAGGGCTCTTCACAGAACGCACCCACCCTGGTTTGAACCCAGGTTTCCCAGTGCTTCTCTGACTGATGTCAGCTCATGATGAAATCCTACATGCAATCAAACAAAATCCCTACAAAACCAATATATTCCCTTTATCTTCAAAATGACTATGTAATCCACTGAAAAATATTGTCAGCTTAACTATACTCGATAATCTATGCCTATTAAATAGCTAAACAGATAAATTATATTGAGGCGTCTGAATTTTTATTCTATTTGCAATTGTCCTACGAGAAATGTGTTTTCTGATCATTTAGAGGTGTTTTTGAACTCATAATTATTGACTTAGGATCAAAATTTGTTAGTGACCACCAGCTATACAGTTATTGTATGTAAGAGTTCATGATACCTTCCTGTTTGTTACTTTAATTGAAGGAGGCTTAAATGGGACTTGAACTCACACCCCCGCCGCCGCCGCGGGTCAAGTGTTTTTTGATCCAATGAGCTATTCTCTCTCTCTCTCTCCTGATTTCTTTGTAATATTTTAGCAGTATTTCTGTTTGTTCATCTTCCTGAGTTCTTTACATACCTACATTGTTTTCAACATCTTTTCTGTTTATATGTGTGAGTGTGTGTTTGTGTGTGTATAAATAAATAAAATAACAATAACATGGTGACTACTGAACTACTTTTGATACGAGATTAGATCTTGACTGTATATACTACTTTTACTTATACACTAATTAATTATAACAGTTAATAAATTAGGTGACAACTATATTTGGTGACTTACCTATCTATACAACTAACTCTAATTATTCTGTCATCGATTTTAACTGAAAATATATGGATATATATCTATGTATAGACACATATTTCACTTCTCCCCACTTCGCCTAACCACATTCATCCAATTATGCTTCTGAGATAATGATGAATCAGCTTTTGGTTAGTTTCTGTTTCTGCCTGTCTGTCTGTTATGTGTGTGTGGGCGTGCGTATATCACTGTGACATTTGTCATCATCATTTTGTATTCACCAATCATCATCTCATCAGCATACCATACATAACCCTAAGACAGCATAGAACCTATTGCATTCCTTTTTTCTGATTGGTGTATAAAAATTGTCTATCGATTAACACGTGGGCGACATCAGTGATTAAATAAGCTTACATAGAAGTGTATATATTGTCTATTTACATATTATTGAAAATAAATAAATTCAAAGTAAGTACATATCATTGGTTATCGTAAATTGCAGAAAAACTCCAGTACTCACATTTTTAAGTGTTTGTCACAAACCAGCATATATAAAAAGTCAGAGAGTAACTGAATGCTAAGACGTACTGGACAGCTACTAACTTTTTCAACCTTATACTTACGATGATGGTAGAGAGATTAGAATTCACGGGTCAGTGAATTCCAACGCAAACAAACCCAAGGTGGCAAAGTTAAACTTTCGACACCACTAACAACCAACCAGCAAACGACCTTGAGCGAACCAATCACATTAAAGAGGCATTTATGATAAATTGAAACGTATATTAATAGAAAATAGCATTTAAAAAAAGCATAAAACCGTTACAGGGGGTATCTTTCCCTAGCATGTGAGAGAAACATCTCCCAGTTAAGCATCGGATTATCAATAGAAAAGTCACACCACATTCTGTACATATATTCATCTAAGTGACTATAAATGAGATCCTTTTGAGATCCATTCATAGCCCTTATCCTGTTTTTCAAGCTGCCCCCCAAATTCTTCAATAGAATTGGTATGTGTCCTCGTAACCGGATCGACAAAATCACTTGAAAGGTTGACTCTATGATGAATATATCCCGGAGATGACTGGGATTCTAACCTTTCCATTCGTCCGTGTGTATTATTGATCCCCGTTTTACAAGTCTGGTAATAATAGGTATTAAAGTGGTTGCTTTACTGTCTGCTATCCTTTCGATGAATCCCTTTCTCAGGAAGGTGTCATACGAACCTATTACCCAAATATTGTTTGCTCGCGGGCAACCACGGTTGTATTTCTTTTTCACAAACACAGTTTCATCAACGTGCACAACAACGTCTTCTCCACCCAACAAGGAAGTGATTTTCTCCATTTTCCAAGAAGCAATATCTCTGCAATGCTGATACCATCGAACTGCTGAAACGAGGCTATTCTCCATCTGAGCAGCTGCGGCTCTCACAGGCTGTTTCAAGACCCAGTAGTTGCAGATATACAAAATTTGCTTCAAGGAGAGGTGTGACTTTGCAAAAATTGTTCCTACGAAATATTAAAATTATCAGCTTACCCTCTCTAATGCTCACTTGCTTCAAGCATATTGCTCAACGATGGACGAATCCATTAGCTGATCTGCTATAGCTTTTTAAAGTCATGATACCACCACACGAACAAGTTCGCTCCTTCCGGAGCAACCTTAAATCCAAGCAATACTGGAAGATACTGTCCTCCTCGAATTGCAACCGTAACCTTGGTACGGTACACATTTGAAATGAATCAACATTGAACTAACGTTTATGAATCTCATTGGATAATTCAACGTCGTTCACTGATTGGTAGTTAGTGGTGCTTAAAGTTTAATTAGACCCACAAGGTGATGCCTGAATGAATAACCAGCGGAATTGGGGTGAGAGTCTGAACTAGGAAGAAACACCAGCAAATGTACAGTGCTGTTTGCCTTTCAATGATTCTCTGACTGATTGATGTTGTTTTGCGACAAGATTCCCTTTGATGATGAAAGTAACTTTAAATCAGTTTTGCACTGCATGTTAGCATCTTCATCACTTCCTTCTTTTTATTTTACCGTCTACCTTTGATTCTGTTCACTTCTAATATTATTCCAAGCTCATATTTGAAAAAAAGTGTGTGTATGTGTGAGAGAGAGAGAGACAGAGAAGGGGACAAGGAGATAAAAGGCGAAAACAACAAAACACATTATGATAATTTAAAGTGTAATGTGTTATTTCCAGATTACTGGGTAGTTCACCTCCCCCGAACGCCACCTTCACTCCACCCTAAATATTCAGAACACACACACACACACACGAACTCAAATCAGCCCACTCCCTATCCCCATTATTATTATTATCATTATTATTCTCCATTCCGTAGTGCAGCGTTCTCTTCTCTGAACTGAACAGCCTAACTACCAACGTTTCATTGTCCACCTAGACAATATGTTCAACGAAAGATTGCAGTCTATAGCTGTGTGTGTATGCGTGTGTGTGAAGTAAGATAGACTAATGCGTCGGTGGCACAGTGGTTAGGACTCTCACCGACCATGCACATGGTCCGGGGTTCGAGCCCTCGCCGACGCACACCTGATATCTATGGTCGGCCTGCAAAATTTGGGCTACCGATATCCATGCTGAAAATTCCATACTGGTATCAAAAATACAGTGTGGAATCAAGCTGTAATCAAAAATAAATAAAAAAAAATAATTATAACCAGGTTGTGAAGCATCATATTGAGACGATCTCATAGTATGATTGAGTAGGTAAACAAGGACTGGGGGGATGGTAGTAGGAAGGTTGAAAATTCACTTCCCCTAAGTTAATATATATATATATATATATATATATATATAATTAAGTCATTAATTGATTGATTGATTAATTAATTGTTAATTATTCTTTTCTTTTTTCAATAACTTCTCTAGATGAAAGTAGTTGATGCATTCCGTATGGGACTTGGACCACGTATTGATTTGGAGCATCGGCGAAGCGGTGGTACACTGGCGTTTAGACAACGTCAAAATTCAACAATTGAATATGTGGATGCTGATGCACCAGATGATTATTAACTTATGTCAATTAATAATGTCTTATGTAAATGTTTACATGTGTATGTGTGTGTCTGTGTGTTTCTATGTATGAATGTGCATTAGTGTGTGTGTGTATGTATGTATGTATGTAGGTTTGTATAAACAAGGTGTGTATAATAGTAATAATAATCATAATAATAATCTGTACTCAGTGTGTTTGCTTGTGCATGTGTATGTGTGTGTGGTTATGTATTACCTTAGCGATAAGCTGTAACATATACTCCTAGAAAACATATACATACGTAGACCTAAACATAATTACGTAATCATACTTACAAAACTGTATCAACTATGCCTACATGCACAAAGTCGGACCTACGCACGCACGCATGCTGCGTATGGATTAGGGCTTGAAGTGTTTGAGACGAGTAGAGTGGGGGTGGGAGTTGGCAGTGATCTTACAACCTCTCAAAAAAAAACGTGTGTAATTAGTAAAAATTGTATCGTATTGTTTTATGTCAGTTGCTCTATGATGAAAATAGCCTTTGTTCCTCCTCTATTGTATCTTTTTCCATACATATATACACACACACCTGTAATCAATATCTGTAATAGATATATTGCATTCACACATCCCGGCTTCACAGTGACTTTAATACTCCGTCCCCTCCTGCCCCTCGCCACCCAAACCCACTGTGTCATTGCCGATCTCTTTGGCTCTTCCTTGCTCTTCTGTTTTTTTTTGTGACACAAACTCTCTACTTTTACCCCCCACCCCTTTGGACCTACTACTACTACTACTCACCTTGATGTACGACGTCACCTCTCTATTGTCCTGAACAGAAGATAATTTTAATATTTCAAGCAATGAATGATGATTATGGTATATAGCCTACTTTTACTTTTAGCACTGACAGTAGTCGTATCACAATTTACCACTTATCTTATCCAGGTAACACTAACTATTCTACTCTGTCTTGTTGTGTTGTATTCTTTGTATTCACTATTTTATTGATTTACAATTGCTCATCATTTACAACGTTTTACTATATATATATATATAAGTGTTTATCAAGTGCTTTATTCTGCAATCTATACGACCTTGACCCTTCCCCAGCGTCGAGCCAGCTCTGTTCCTCTTTGTCTATCCCGCCTCTCCTCCCACAGCAATCCACTGCCTCCATCAAACGCGTCATCTCCCATCTCCATCACATCCAATTGGAACAACACACGCAGAGATATATTTTGAACACACTGGCCTGTATTCAGAAATGCTTGCTTGACTGCTTACTTACTCACTCACTAACTCACTTATTACACATAATTAATAACTTACCATTTAGCCTATTGCCTTTGTAATAATATTCATTATAATAATGATAATAATTGATAATCAATAAATCGATCAATTGCTCATTGAGAAAGATATTCAAACATTTGAATCCTTTTTTAAAGAAGCATACCCCACAGATATTAGTAACAATAACCATAATAATAATGTTTGTATTCTCGTTTTCCTCTTATATGTTACTATGAAGTGTTTGGGTGGGGTGGTGCTCTGTGTGTGTGTGTGTGTAGTTGTGGTTTTACACTTTCTTTTACACTCACATATACGTACGTGTACAGTGTGTGTGCGTGTGTGCCTGAATTCTTGTTGTCTAGCTTATTATGCGGCTGATGAGGAGTGTCTCTACGATGTTACTACTAATACTATTACCATCCCTCCTGCTACTGCTGATTTTTACTTTATCTTTTACCAACGCGCGTGTTTATGGGTATTTTCAAAAAATACAATTAATCAACTATTGTTATTTTGTTCCTTTTTTCATCGATTAGAAAGTTTGTGTGTTTGTTTATCCGCTGTTTCCTCACGCGCTTTCTCTCTGTCACACACATACACACACAAACAATGTGGTTTTGATGATCATGTATTCCTTCGAACTTGATTTCAAAATAATGAAAGTGTTGTACTGTTTGTTGTTCAATTTTGGTAATGACTTGTGTTCTTGTACGTGTGTGTGTGCATTTGTGAGATGGGGGGGGGGTTCTTTTGAAAGAAATAACTGAATTCCTTCTTCAATTTTCTTTGTCTTTTGTTTTCACGCTTCTACTTGCTCCTTTGAGATCACATCACACCCACTGTTGATTGATCGATATATTTTAGCGCTGTGTAATTTTGCCAGTATAACGTATTACTTTTAACTACTAACTACCATACATATTTGTGTGTGCACAGCATATATATATGTATACATACATATACTTGCACAGATGTAGTCGGCCAGTCGTGTCTATACGTGTGTTTGTGCTTTAAAATCTAGACTCCACTCCTGTTCCGTTGTTCCCCCTACGTTTACAACTCAAATAGTTCGCCTTATTTCCGTAGGTAATTCTATACACATATATAAAATAAGAGGTAATGAAATCAAAAATTGTGGACAGACGCAGAGAACAACATCTCCTAATCCCCCACACAACGATCTCTTCAGCCTCTCTCTATCTCTCTCTGTCCTCCTCTCTGAATACGTACTTTGTATAATCGTTTTTCATTCTACCTTATTTTGTGAATAATATTTTTGTTGACACTATCTGCTACTACTACTACTACTAATTCCCCTTTTTAAGTAGTTAGTAATGTACACACATACACATACATGCCTGTGTATTAGAGTAATTTTGATTTCTTTTAGCCTTCATACAATATAATATAATATAAATAAATGTTTTGGCTATTTTTTTTTATTTTTTTGACCATGCCTCCATAATATCTCCCTATTTATATTATTAATTGCTTTCCTACTAGCGTGTATCTGTGTGTCTATAATTCGATAGTTTACTAGCTTGCTCAAATTTTCAATTTTTTCCCAACATATTTTGTTCAGTTTACAATAGCTCTGACTTACCTGAAGTACTTTTGTTTTATATATATGCACACATTTTGGCGGTTTTATGAATGAAGAATTGCCAGGTAGAGCACATAGATTGTGATTGAATAATTTTTTTTGCCTTCTTATAATTTTTACAAATATGCACCTGTTTGTCTATCCATCTACTACAGGTGTGTATGTCTGTATCACTTTGAAATGCAAGCAGCTGCATTCATACACTTCTATCGTCTGCATTCACACATGATTGTAAGATGATTGGCTAGGTAAGAGTCTCAGATGGATAGATAGGCAGACAGACTATAATACAGTCAGCCCTATATGTGTTATCAATAAATGAATATGGTAGAGGTGTTTTTGAATTATATTATCGATCACTAATCGTCTTATTATTACCATTATTATTACAACCATTGGTACGTTGCTATTTTTGCTGCTGTTCCTTTGATGACGATGTCAGTCGATGCTCTACGAAGGCTGCTCTAAAAATACTGTGACGATTAGAAATACGATGACCACTAATACTACAAAAATTGCTTTCTTTAATACTACTGTCAATATCCTTGATAATTTTTATTATTAATGGTTGTAAAACCTTTTTGCTCTCTCCTTCCTCCATACCTTCCCCCACTCCCCCCTGCTCCCGAATTAACTAACTGTCACTATTTTTTGCTCCCCGTTTGTCGCACTAAACTACATTGATTATTCGTTTGTTACTATAATTAAAATCATTATTATTAATAATACTACTCTTATTATTGTTATTAATATTATTATTATCAAACCAACTACTAATATTACTGCGATTAATATTAATATTAATAAAAACAATATTAATAATAATACAACTGATTCTTTCCTGTCGTTGCTGCCGTCTTCATTTCAGATTGATACATTGTGTATGTAGTATCTGTCTGTCTGTCTGTCTGTTTTTGACATAGAACTTTACACTGATGTGCAACAGTTCGAGTCGCCAAACTCCCTCCATGTAGCATACAAAGCAACAGAAGAAAGTAGAAGAAATGCACAATAGAGACAGTAAACAGAGGTGTGAGATAAAGGAATAGTAATAACGAAGAACGATATAGTTTCATTGGAACGATCACTTTGAGCCATATCACCAATTGTTTCCAACCGTTGGTTTTTACCATCCCGAGGACCCCAACCCAGAAGTCTACACCTTCCTACCTGGCCAGCTTAAACTAACTGTTGTGGATTTCATTGAGTGGTGCCGTGTTTTGGTTTGACCGCCGCCCGCTCTTTTTTGCAGTCTGACCCTATGTTAGCTAACACTGTCCGTAGTCGAGAAAGGCGATGACTAGGCATACGTAACAAATGTCCTTACCATCTCAGTCGATGTCATTCCACAGCCTCGTTGATTGATTTCCTCTCCTTACCTAGAACTCAACTGAAGCCTAACCTCAATATTGCTCACCTTATTATAACAATTCACCACACACCACTTCACACTCGGAGTTCTGGGAAGTATGCAGTATGTTTTTGTGCGAGAATTTATTTCCATTTTGAAGACGTCTATTTTTCGATTCTCATCGTTGGCGAGGGAGGGAGAGAGAGATGATAGTTGTTGCCTTGTCTTAGCCATCCTAACCAATACATACACTGAAAATGGCGAGATACCAACCAGTCAGCTGCTTATTGTTCAATTAAAACTCCAAACTAACGACTATTTTCTTTTTTTTTCCTTCACGTTCCTAGTGGAATATGGAGCTTCAAGCTAGTGGCTTGAAGTTTCTGTAGCCGTGTTTTATTTCGACAGGATGGGGTTGCTAGCCCAATGCCTAACCTTTCCTCTTTACCAGCATTATTTCTGGCTTAGTGAGCTAAAGGAGTGCGTCGGTGACCGGGGATCGAACCCCGGATCATGTGCATGGTCGGCGAGCGTCCTAACCGCTGTACCACCAAACTAATGACTAGTGCTTGTTATCATTACCTTTGTTGTACAATAACGGCGAAGTTAAACTCTACTATCCCAAGAGTACGAAGGCACCGATGACCTTAGGGAACTGTGCATGGATTTATTTTAGGTACTAACTAACGTGATAGGAATCAGCTTAAAATAATCATCATCTTGTGATTTATCGTGTAATCAGATGACTGTAAAAATCTCATCATTATTTTCTTGCCCTAATCATGGTTAGATCTCCGACCAATCAGAATATGTATTTTTTGCTGACCTAGGCAAATTGCCTGCCAATGAGAACAGTCTATTTTCACTGCCCTGGGCCGATTTTAATATGGCTAAAAAATATATAAATATGGAAAGCTTTTCTCTAGTAAAATTATATCCTCACTGTCGCATGCCAGTCTTTGTCTTTTGATATTTGCGTGGCTGAGTGAAGTGGAAGGTACCATGGACAAATACGTAGGTGTATCTTATTATTATTATTGTATCCTTTAGTTCCTAGAGGAACATAGGGCTTCAGCTGCGCACCTCCATTGACTTCGGTTTTCTGACAACTTTTTCACCCTGCTCCAGGTCTGTCCACATGCTTTCATCTCCTCCTCGCATGACCTCCTCCAAGTCACCCTTGGACGACCAACTCGCCGCCTCCCTTTCGGGTTCCACTCGAGGGCTTGTCTAGTGATGTCACTTGATGGTTTCCTCAGCGTATGGCCAATCCATCTCCATTTCTTTCTGCCTATTTGTTTCACAATCGGTTCCTGATTGGTTCGCTCCCAGAGATCCCTGTTGCTGATCTTTTCTGGCCATCTGATCTTGAGTATTGAGCGGAGACAGTTGTTAATGAAGGTTTGAAGTTTGTTTGAGATGCTCTTTATGACTCGCCAAGTCTCTGATCCGTATAGTAGCACTGACTTCACATTGGAGTTGAAAATCCGGATCTTATTTTTGATGCTGAGTGCTGTTGACCTCCACACAGATTTGAGAGTAATGAAAGCTTGTCTTGCTTTTCCGATTCTGGCTTTGATGTCCTCGTCAGTTCCGCCTGTAGTTGAGACGATGCTTCCCAGGTAGGTGAAGGAGGTTGTTTCTTTCAGGTTCTTCCCATTTATGCTTATTGTGTCTGTTGTTGTTGTTCTGTTGATGTTGGCTAGGAATCTTCATCATCTCTGTTTTATCTATGTTCACGTGAAGTCCTATCTTTGATGCTTCTTCTGCCAACTTGTTACTTTTCACTTGCATATCTTCCAGTTTATGGGAAATCAGACATATATCATCGGCGAAATCCAGATCCTCCAAGTCTTTTGTGTCAGTCCATTTTATGCCTGTTCCCTCGTTGGTTGCCGTTGTCTGTCGCATTATCCAATCAATTGCAATCAGGAAGATCATTGGTGATAGTAGACAGCCTTGCCTCACTCCCGTCCTCACTTCGAAGGCTTCCGTAAGTTTCCCGTTGTGGATTACTTGGCATGCAGCATTGTCGTATAACTGTTGGATGAGGTGTATAATTGTCGATGGGACCCCGTAGTAGCGAAGTAGTTTCCAAATGACCTCTCGATCGACGCTGTCGAAGGCCTTTTCAAAGTCGATGAAGTTGAGATAGAGAGGTGACTGCCATTCCAAGCTTTGTTCAATGATGATCCGTAGAGTGGCGATTTGATCAATACATGATTTGTTTCTCCTGAATCCAGCCTGTTCCGGACGAAGTTTTTCATCTAGGGCTTGTTTGATTCTCTCCAGGATGATGCGACTTAGTATCTTGCTTGGAATGGACAGAAGCATAATTCCACGCCAGTTTTTACATTGACTTAAGTCTCCTTTCTTTGGAAGTTTGAATAAGTATCCGTTCTTCCAATCCTCGGGTACTTTGCCCTCTTTCCACACCTTCTCCAGCAGTGGTGTCATCAAGTCCGCTGTTGTCTCTGGGTCTATTTTCAAAGCCTCTGCTGGGATTCCATCTGGTCCCGGTGTTTTCCCAGCTTTAAGCATCTTGATTGCATTCAGGACTTCTGATTTCGTCGGGGGGTCAGTGTTCACTGGTAGTTCTGCTTCCGTTGTTGGTATTGCTGGACGTGTTGTAGGTGGCGGACGATTTAGAAGTCTTTTGAAGTGTTCAACCCAGTGCTTTCTCTGTTCCACCTCTTTGGTGATTGACTTTCCATTGTCGTCCTTTATTGGCTTAATCTGTGTCGAACGTTTGCCCGAAAGGTTCCTAGTTGTTTGGTAGAGTGTGGCGAGGTCTCCTTTGCCTGCAGCTTGTTCTGCTTCGTTTGCCATGGTTTCATAATATTTTCTTTTGTCTTCCCTGGCACTTTTCTTCACTCTTTTGTTCAGTGTATTGTAGCTTGCATTCAGCTCCTGTTTTTGTTGCTCGTCAGTGCACTGGATAATCTTTTGCTTCACTGTCCTTCTCTCTTCTATTAGTTTCCAAGTGTCCGTAGTGAGCCACTGTTTGTCCTGTCTCTTTTTTCTGCCTAGAATTTCTATGCAGGTTTGGCTCCACACCGTTTTCAAGTTGTTCCAGTGCTTTTCAACGCCGACCTCTTCGCTAGTGTTGATTTGTGTCTCGGCTTTGTCCTTTATGCTTGCAATGAAGATGTCCTTTGTAGCCTGGTCCTTCAGCTTTTGAGTGTTGAACTTGGCTTGTGGTCTATCTGCAGCTCCTGATTCCCTGAAAGCTTTTAATTTGATTTGGATTGTCCCTTGTACGAGATAGTGGTCTGAGCCAACGTCTGCTCCTCTTCTTGCTTTTGTGTCCAGTAGGCTGCGCCTCCACTTCCTTGAGATTGAGATGAAGTCGATTTGGTTTTTGGTTTGCCCGTCTGGTGACACCCATGTAGCCTTGTGGATATCTTTGTGCTTGTATACACTGCCACCAATCACCAGTTCGTTGAAGGCGCAGAAGTCGGCGAAGAGTTCTCCGTTTTCATTCATTTCTCCTAGAGCTTCTCTACCCATGATGAGTTCCCTTCCCGTATTGTCTGGTCCCAGTTTGGCGTTCATGTCTCCCATTAGTATTTTCATGTCGCCAGCTGGAGTATTGTCCATTGTTGCCTGTAGTTGCCTGTAGAATTCTTCTTTCTTTTCGAGGTCTGCGTTGTTTGTGGGTGCATAACATTGTATGATTGACACTTTCCTTCCTTTGGAGTTGAACCTGGCGGTCATTATCCTGGACGAAATCGCCTCCCATTGTATCAGGGCTTTCGTTGCCGTTGGTGACATCATGATAGCCACGCCCTCGGTGTGCGTGTGGTTATCTTCTGGGTGACCGGAGTAGATCACTGACTCACCTGTTGACAATTTGGTGAGTCCACTCCCATTCCATCTGCTCTCACATATTCCCAGCACTTGTATTCCGTATCTTTTCATCTCGTTGGCGATCTGGGCAGCTTTCCAGTCTCGTACATAGTTCGGACGTTCCATGTTCCCACACAGACTTTTTCTTTTGGTGCAAAGAGGTTCATTCTGCTGAAGTTTCTGTAGCAATTTTGTTTACAGGGTGGGGTTGCTAGCCTCACGCCTGAGAAAAGAATGATTACATTAAGATAAAGTTTAGAGAGAAGCAACTTTTTGGGTTGCTCCCCTCAAAATCAGAAAATAACGGACAAAACAATGAGAACAACACCAGCAAAAGTAAAACAGTTCACAGGAAAAAGGGCCTAGCCAGTACTATAATGATGTTATGTGTCAGGTGTATCTAGTATACGGCAAAGTTAAACTTTAGTTAACTTCGTTAGAGCACGCATTTGAAACGAATCAATCGCAATACAACCTTGAACTCACATGCATGAATCTCATTGGACTATTCGGGCTAGTTCGCTGATTGGTAGTTAGTGGTGCTTAAAGTTTAACTTGGCTTAGTATACCAGTTGGATTATTCGTCGCGTCAGTATTATTATACCCACAGATAAGTTCACTTGGTCATATCAGTTATCGACGCGATTATTTCA